ATAATTTTAATATTCTGACAGTTATAGGTAAAAATGTAATCAGTCGTATTTTATCCTTTAATATTTAACTGAGTAGCTTTCGTATCAGTTTTAAAAATATTTTATTGTCACTTTCAGTTTCAAAAATAGAAAGGCAAAAGGAAAAGACAGAAAAAAAAGGAATTTAGCTTAGGATACGCAAACACCAAAAGTTCTAAAATGTCAAAATACCGCGTTTGAGCTTACGAAGAAGGAGAAAAATGAATAAGTTTTACAAAATTGTCTAAACAATATGAAAGTTTTGAATGCCTCCTTGCTTAACGCTGCCTACACTTTTGCCCGATATCAAAAATTCAGTTCGGCCAAAGGCAAATTAGTAGACAAAAATATTTATCACTACGTACTCTAAAACTGGTACGAAAAGATTTTCTACCGATTTTCCCATTTCTAGAAAAAGTCCTTGATTTTTTTTAGAAATGTGAGACAATTCAGGACGAAATGGCACAGCACCACGGATATCTCAGAACAGCTAAATCGTTTGCAACTGCTTCAGTTAAATAAATCTCCATGTTACTAGTTCTATCAGACTGATCAAGCATATGTCAGAATTGCCAGCAAGTTGACCACCAACTGATGCTCCATTGGTCAAAGAACGGTTTTAATGGAAAAGTTGCCAGCTGCATGGATGAAGGCGATATTATGAACAACTATTTCAGGCACTCCAAACATTTAGTCGCTCGGAAAACCTTGTCTGCATCTTCAGAAGAAGCGTTAGCTAGCAAATGTGTGAGAGATTTCCTGAGTTCTATCGCTACTATGACGCGTTATAGTCATAAAGAATGTCACTTGTCTGTAAAAATAGAGCGGTGTAGCACCGGGACTGACTTTTTTACACAGCTGCTATGAGGCTGTACTTATGACTCCAGCTTTTAATCATACCCAACTGCTGCCTGTGTTTACAGTTGAGGGATGAAACACAGGCAGATTTTTTCCTACATATTCCTTTCTACGTGACTTTACGCCACATGACGTTTCACGCCACGTGATTTTAGCCCTACAGACTTGTCTTCCTCTTCTTTTCTAATTCTTCACCATAATAAATGCAGCCTCATTCCGGCTCAATAGGATCTCAGACCATGTTTGCAGGCCTGGCCTAACGGAGCTCGGCTGCAAACATGGTCTGAGATCCTATTGAGCCGGAATGAGGCTGCATTTTAGTAGTTCGTGAACGTCTCGTTTTCACTTTTCACAGCTACAGGGTAGGCAAATATGCTCGGCCAATCTTACATTCGCCACTAAGGACAATTTCAAAAAAGGCCAAAAGTGGCTTCTTCTACCTGTATATAATGGTGAACTATCCCTGTTTTTATACTTTATGTACTTAAAGCGTTTTTTACTGCTTTAGCTTATAGTCAGGGGTTTCTTTTAATCGCAGCTGTGCAATTTCAAGCTGATTTGAACATCTTTTGATTGTTTTTATGTCATACACGGTAAAATTTGTGCTCTACTGTAGAATTCTTTGTGTTCATTTTATGCTCCTTTATCCGATTTTTCCACTTTTTCATAAAATTTCCCATGCATCTCTCCAGGATTTTTGCTCTAATTTTCGTTTTATATGGTTTAAGATCCTTAAAGTGCAAAAAGCTATTCGCTTCCTCTTTCTGAATACAGGCTGGCTAGAAATATAAACACCTGCAAAAGGCGCAATTCGAATCCAGGCGGTGTTAATTTTACGTAACTCGGCGCAGACAAACACGCCATACCAGTTGTGAATTTGAGAGACAGATTCGTCTTGAAAAACCCATCACGAAGAATTTTGAACTAGAAACACAGAGCTGATTCAAAATGAAGCAGTAAAGAGTTAACCTTCTGCGATATCGAAGCTAGACGCTGTCTGTACTGATCGAGCAAGAAATCCTCGTACTTTCTTTGCTCTGGCATGCTTTCAAGGAATGTGCCACCCTTGCTTAACATTTCGGTGAAAAAAATGATTGCCAAAACAAAACGAGGAGCAGGCACCATTTTCGGCTGCTTTCCTCGATCTTTTTAAAATTAAATCACCACTGGTCTGCTTGTATGTCTGCCTGCCGCTTACAAGCGTTAGCTGCCCGATTTTGCAGGTGACGCCCTTTTTTTGCTAAGCCTGCCAGAATTGTTTAGAAAAAAAAGAAAAAGGAGCAGTTATTTTGGGAAATTTTTTCTTGTTGTTTCTTACATTTTCATGTTTTTGCACTACTAAATGTTCTTTGGAGCAACCTGATCTTTGGAGCAAACAGCATGTGTGTGAGTGATCGAAAGTAACTGTAAAGTGCACATGCATTTCCTGTAGTCAGAAGAACATCGGCTAGTAAAAATTAATCAAGAAAGAAGGGTACCCAGATTTTTGACCTGCACTTCGAGCTTAGGTTGATCTCATAAATCCGAGAGCAGAAAAGCTCACAAGTCGGAATTACAAAAGTTTATTTTGTTGGACAATGTCAAGTGGGCAGCCTGTAACTAATTTATGAATTTTTGCATGCTTTAACATCAGATCCAAATGCACTTCAAAAGAAAATACAT